TGTCGCGAAAGGCGACTTATCTTTTTACCATTTTGTCCCCTGTCTTTTTATTAAAAATATTTATTTTTTATTTTTCCCTTTTAATCATGCTTAATCATAGAAAAACGCCTACTTTCTCAAATTCTTTAAAATTCACTTTGTACTTTTGTGAAAATTCTATTTTTCTTTAAAATCCGCCCCTTTTTCTGACTATAAATAATCTTGGGCTTTCTCAAATATTCAGAGCTCTTCTTGGATTAAAATTGTTTTTAAAAGTTCCATTCTCTGTTTTTAAAGTTTTTAATTTTAATTTTAAATAAAAGTTTTCTATTCGTTTAAAATTAATTTTATTTTCTTTAAAAAAATTGTTGAGAAAAAAAATCTCAACAAGTGGTGCCGCTACGTTTTGAACGAACCTGTTCAAAAGTTAAAATTGTTTGTAAAAAAAAATTATTTTTTTTGTTTGTTGAAAAGTTAAAGAAAAATTGTTTTAAAAGAAACTTATAACTTAAAAGATTAAGTTATATTTAAAAGTTTTAAGTTAAAATTCATTTGAAGTTAAACTTAGAAGTTTAAAGTTAAAAATTTATTTGAAAAGTTAAAAGTTAAGTTTAAAGTTGAAAATCTATTTGAAATTAAAATTGAGAGTTTGAATTTAAAATTGAAAATGTCCGGTCCATATAAAAGAATGATCGGAACTGTTTTACAACGTTTGCGAGTTAGAATTGAAAATGCAGAAAGTATTTTAGTAAAAGATGAAATAGACGATGAAGAGAAAGAATCACTACTGAATGACGGAAAAGGTATTCAGAAAATTTTGAAAACTTTAGATGAAAAGAACCAACTTTGGTTAGATTTTCTAAAAGTTTTAGATCCAGATGATAGAATAAAAGAAACTCAAGCTTATGAAAATTATACAGTTGAGAATAGACATTTCTATGAATGGATCGAAAAAGGAAGAGAAATTGTTGATTCAATAGATGAACTTGTTATTCAGAGAAATCCAGATACCTCTGAAAATAATTCTGTAGTAACACAAACAAACAATGTAGAAACTAGGGAATTAACTGTACAATTACCCAGACTTCAGTTACCCGAGTTCCATGGAGATCCACATCATTGGATTTCTTTCTGGCAAAGTTTTGAAAGTTCAATAGATAGACATAACTTTAGCCAAATTGATAAAATGAAATTTTTGCTTAATTGTTTAAAAGGAGAAGCAAGGAATGTTGTTTCAGATTTAATGTTAACAAATGAAAATTACCAGATCGCAGTCAATACATTGAAAGAAAGATTTGGTGATAAGAATATTTTAATCGAAGCATTGGAATCAGAATTATTTCGATTACCTACTTGTACAGAAAAATCAATTTCGTTAAAATATACAGTTGATAAAATTGAAAAAATATTTAGACAATTAGAAAGTATTGGTGAAAATACAAATAATTCAGTCATGACCTCAATGATAAAGTCAAAACTCAATAGAAGTTTTTTAATGGAGATTGCTAAAGAAGAAAAGACTTTAGGTAAAAAATGGAACACTAATGAATTAAGAAAAGCTCTAGTTGGAATGGTCAATATAAGAGAATCAGTGTTTCAGTCATCAAAACATTTTCAAGTTTCTCAAACAAGTAACCAAAATGAATTGAACCAGAAAAATAGAAATAATGAAAATTTTCAAAGATTTCAAAAAGTAAATCAAGCAAGAACTTTCCCAGTATTTACACATGCAAGAAATATTGTTTGTTATTTTTGCAACGGGAACCATTGGTCAAATTCTTGTTTAAAAGTTTTGGGCTTGGAGGAACGCAAGAAGCGTTTGATCGAACAAAACAGATGTTTCCGATGTCTTCGACAAGGACATGTTCTCAAAGATTGTCTTGTAAGAAGAAACTGTTCATATTGTAATGGAACTCATAATTCAGCCATATGTCCCAAAAGGAATTTTGAACATGAAAAACAATTCGATAATAATAAAAATAGACAAATGAACTATGTGACCGAAAAAGTAAATCCTGTGTACAAAAATAAAGTTTTTGAAAGGAAAAGTTGGAAAAGTAAAACTTCCTGTTGTCAAATTAAAAATACAGTTGAAAATCAACCTGAAGAAACTAAAAAGGAAGAAAATATTGTTAAAACTCAGAATATGACCGTTAATTCGTATAGTACTTTATTAGAATCTTGGAACCCAATGTTAATGGTTTTAAAGGTCAAAGTATTTTCTCCGAGAAACGAAGACAAGAAAACTGAAATTTTTGTATTTCTTGATAGCGGAAGCGAAGTTTCTTACATTACAGATGAATTAACAAAAAAATTAAACTTGCCAAAGTTAGGAGAAGGCTTTCTTGAAGTATATACATTTCAAGGAAATAAATCTGAAAAACAACAATCTGGTAAATACTTGCTCGGAATTGAAAGAAAAGATGGAAAAAATGAAATGATAGAATTGTTAAGTATTAATAAAATAGCTAATGAATTACGTTCTGTAACTATAAATGAAATCTGTGGACATTTAAAATTAAAAGATATAAAAAACAATTTAGTTACAAACTTTGGAAAACCTGATTTGTTAATAGGTGTAAAAGATTTTTGGAGATTTTTTATTAAAAAGACTGAAATTTCGAAAGATTGTTATTTGGTTAATACTACAATCGGAAGTGTAATTTGTGGAGAAAATCAAAAAATTTCTCTAGAAAAGACAATACCAGTACAGACTCACATGGCTGTTAAATCTTTTGAAGAAATGCCTAGTGAATCAGAAATTAAATCTTGGTGGGATTTACAAAGTATAGGTATCAATGAAAATCCCGAAGAAAACGAAGATGAAACTGCTCAAGAATTGTTTAATAAATCAATTAGACAAGTTGACAAAAGATATAGAGTTAAATGGTTATGGAAAGATGAAATTCCCGATTTGCCTACTAATTATGGTATTGCTTATAAATGTTTGGAATCTGTTAAATCGTTTACAAAATGAACAAGGATTAGAAAATTTAAAAAGAATAGATAAAACTATACAAGACCAATTAAAGCTTGGAATAATTGAAGAGGCTTTCAAAGGTAAAGGAGAATTGGAACATTATTTACCGCATAGACCTGTTTTTAAAGATGATAAAATTAGAGAAGTTTATAATGCTTCTGCCAGATCTAAAGGTCATAAAAGTTTAAATGACTGTTTATTTCGAGGTCCATTAAAATTACCAGATTTAGCTGGAATGATTATGCGTTTTCGATTGTCTAAATTTCCGTTATTGGCAGATATAGAAAAGGCTTTTTTGCAAATTGAATTGGAAGAAGCTGATAGAGAAGTTACAAAATTTTTATGGTTAAAAGATATAAATAAACCGTTAAAATTTGATAATTTAATAATTTATCGTTTTACAAGAGTAGCTTTTGGAATTATTTGTTCTCCTAGCCTTTTGGCTATGACTATTGAACATCATTTGAATAAATTCCCTGGTTATGAAAAATTGTTTAAGAATATTTATGTTGATAACGTCTTTATCGATTGTAATAGTGAAGAAGAAGTTTTTGAAAAATATATTGATTTAAAGAGAGTATTTTCTGAAGGAAAGATGAATTTAAGAGAATTTGTAACAAATGCCAGAAAAGCTTTAGAAAAAATTCCTGAAATTGATAAATTAACGGATTTGAATCAAAAAGTCTTAGGAATTAATTGGGATATAAAAATGGATATTTTAGAAATTAAATTTCCGTGTTCGAATCTTGAAGATAAATTTACAAGAAGAAAAGTTTTGGAAATAATGGCTTCTTTATTTGATCCGCTTGGTCTCGTCTCGCCATGTCTTGTTTACCCAAAATTACTGTTTCAAAAGTTATGGGATAAACCAAAGAATTGGGATGAAGAATTGGAAATCACTCATTCAAACGAGTGGATAAATATTTTAAATTCTTGGATAAATCAGAAAATAACCGTTCCAAGACTAGTTATAATTAAAAATTGTAAATACCAATTACATGTGTTTGTTGATGCTAATAAAGACACTTATGCCGCTGTTATTTATTTAAGAAGTAAAGAGAATGATAAAGTTCAAGTTTCATTGATTTATTCTCGAAATAGAATAAGATCGAAGAAACAAAATTTGACTATTCCTAGGATGGAATTGCTGGCATTGTTAATAGGAACTCGCGCATTAAAGTTTGTAGAAAAAGAACTTCAAATTAAAATTGAGAAAAAATTTATTTGGAGTGATGCAAAGGTCGTTTTACTTTGGTTAAATACTAAAGAAAAACAACCGAGATTTGTAGAGAATAGACTAATTGAGATACGTAAAAATACAGATATTATATTTAAACATGTATCTACAAATGAAAATCCTTCAGACGTTTGCACTCGGGGTTCTACACCAGAAGAGCTTCGTTTAAATGATCTTTGGTGGAATGGACCGATATGGTTATGTAAAGTTGAAGAAAATTGGCCAAATGATTTAGAAATAAAAATTGAAATTAAAAGTTTAGACATTTGTGAAACGCCTATTACAATGTCTATAAAAAATACTGGAGTAAATTTAATAAAATTTGAAAGATTCAGTAATTGGACAAAACTAGTTAAAGTTATGATTATTGTGTTGAAATTTTTAAGAAAAAGATTCAAATTAATTTTAAAAAATGATAAATGGAAAAATAAATTATTGTTTTTATTGAAAGAAAAATTTGAACAAACCGCAGAAAATCTTTTAATAAAAACAGTACAAAAAGAAAAAATAGATGAATTTAATAAATGGGAGATTTTCGAGGATGAGATTGGAATCAAGAGATTAAAATCAAGGATTAAAAATAGTGATGCAAATTTTGAGTTAGAAAACCCAGTAATTATTCCGAAAAACTCTGAAATTTTGCCATTGTTAATAAATGACATTCATGAAAAATGCAAACATGTTGGTGTTCAAAGTACACTTGTTGAATTTTTAAGTCGATTCTGGACCCCGCAATCGAGAAGAAAGGTAAAAGAAACACTTAAACAATGTTTAAAATGTAGAAAAATGAAATCAAGTCCATTTATGCTACCGAAATTTCCAAATTTGCCTAATGATAGAATTCAAAGTACTTCGCCTTTTAAAAGCATTGGAATAGACCATTTAGGTCCTTCTTTTTATAGAGAAATTGATAATACAGAGAAAAAATTCTGGATTACTTTAATCACTTGTCTTTGTACACGAGCTGTTTATTTGGAGCCAGTTAAAAATTTAAAAGCCGATACTTGTTTAAATGTTTTGAAAAGATTAGCCGCTCGAAGAGGATGTCCAGAAAGAATTTTGTCTGATAATTCTAAAACGTTTATAGCCTGTGCAAAAAATTGTAAAGTGCATTTAAAAATAATAGGAAAAGAATTAGAATGGAAATTTATTAAAGAATTAAGCCCATGGCAAGGAGGAGTATATGAAAGAATTGTGGCGTTAGTCAAAGATGCTTTTCGTAAAACTTTAGGAAAAAGAACCTTACAATGGGAAGAAATGTTAACGTTCACTACAGAAGTTGAAGGAATCTTAAATATGAGACCTTTAACAACTATAGATGAAAATCCTGACGTACCGGGATTAATTCCCTTGCGACCTGTAGATTTTTTATGTCCACAACGGAATCTATGTTTAGAATTAGAAATTCCTAAAACAGATGACTCAATAATGAATTTTGTAATCAAATATAAAGATTCATTTGTATTTACAGAATTTCTCTTAAATGAATTATGGAAACGTTGGAAAAAAGAATACTTAATCTGGTTGAGAGATAGAAGTCAATGGGCAATGAAAGGTCCTCGTTCTCAGACAAAAAGAGAACCTAATGTTGGTGAAATAGTGATTTTGGAGGAAGAATTTGTCCCCAGAAATTTATGGAAAATTGCAAAAATTGTAGAATTATTAGACACAAAAGATGGACGTTGTGTGAGAAATGTTAAAATTTTGTTGCCAAATGGAACAATTGTCTCACGACCAATTAATAAACTATATCCTTTGGAATTAAATATTGAAAATAAAGAAACTGAAAGTATTAAAATTAAAGAAATTGAAGAAAATTTAAATGAAAAAATTGAAGAAAAATCAAAGGAAATTAAAACAGTGAATCAGATAAATATTATTAGTAAAGAATTAACAAAAAATTTAATAAACATTTCAACTATATTATTTACTTTTTGTTTAATACTATTTATGTTTTGTATAGTTACAGCAAAAACACAGTGTAATGATTGTTTGGTTGAATGTAATGATAAAGGAATTTTAATTAGTTCACCGGAAAAAATAGATAAATATGAAATTTGTTGTAGTGATGGACCATGTACAACTCATTCTAGAGTTGATCAATTTCAATTTGAAATAAATAAGGAAACACTCGTTACACATCATCATTGTGAAGTGAATTTTTGGTCTAAAACTAAAAATATATTAAAATATGAAGTGAAATGTGAGCCGAGTGATCCGTGTAAACTTATTCCATGTTATTTTTGTTTGGAAAGAATGATCAATCACACTTGTTCACCGTTCATATCGCTTTTTTTGATAGCTTGTTCCACAATTGCATTTGTCTTTTTTGCTTGTTTAATTTGCTGTATTCTCAAAAACACGTTTAAATTGATAAGCTGTTGTTTTCCGAGAAAAATTAAACACAAAAATTTGTCAAGAAATAAAAAACGTTGGACACTTAGAAAAAGATTATTGGTCTTAATATTATTTTTTATTAATGAATCTAATGGAGAAATAATTTCAAGGACTGCTCGAACTGAAACTTGTTTTCGTAAAAATGGAAAAATTGATTGTTCATGGAACTTTGTTGAAACTCTAACTATGACAGATAATAAAGAAAGACAGACAATAGTACTTAAAGATAATAAAAATAAAATTCTCGGACAGATAAATTTAACCCCAGAAGGATTTAAAATGAAATGTGAACCAATTATTGAAAAATATTTACGATCATATGAAGTTAAAATTCAAACAGTTAAATCTTGTCCCGAAACTGGAAGTTGTCACCATGATAATTGCCTTATTGTTAATAATAACTGGGAACAAGACATTAAAGAATTGGAACCTTGGAAAAATTACACCGGTTATAATCGTTGTTCCGCTTCATGTAGTTTTCTCTGGTGTAAATGTGGAATGAGTACCGGTTCTAGTTGTCTGTTTTATAGAATTTACGTGGAACCGACAGACCCAGACATTTATGAAGTTTTTACTTGTAAATGGATTCCTATATTCACGTTTAGTGGTGAAACAATTTTTCTGAGTGAAGAAACAAAAGAAAATCAAGAATCTTTATTCGAAGTTCAACCCGGAATGATAGTTCATGATAAAAATTTTACTATCTCTGTTACTCAATTTTCGTTACCTCCAGAACCAGAAATGAACGGAAAATTTATTGGAAATAAAAAATTTGTATCTTTAATAGATGATATCTATTCGAATGTACATTGTAAAAATTATTTGGCTGCTGAGAAATTCGAATGTGATATAAAGGAAGAAATATGTCAAGAATGTCTCCCCGATCATGACAATGAAAAAGTAGATTGTAAATGTAAAAATTTAGAATTAGATAGTTTATTATTAGATACTCAAAGAATATTGCCGATAAAAACACAGACATTAGATTTGAATTATGATGGTCTAAATGTGTATTCCGAAATTTACGGAATGCCTTTTGATGTAGTAATAAAAGTAAACAATTTAAGACTTGTAACTGTCGATGATTGGAATAAATGTGAAGTAAAAATTTTAGAATTTGGAGGTTGTTATAATTGTCGCACCGGAGCTGATTTGAATTTCACATGTAAAACTAGTAATGGAATGGCTTTAGCTGAAATTTTTTGTGATAAAGACATTGCGTTTACTACTAAATGTTCAGAAGTAGGTGAAAATGTAATACAAAGATTAAACTTTGATCACGCTCATATCAAATTAGATTGCAAAGTTGAGTGTTTAGGTGGAACTACTGATTTGAAAATAAACGGAAAATTATTTTTAATTGATATTTTGGAATTTGAAAATAATAGACATGTAATTAATTCAGATGTTAAAGTAAATGACAACATAAATAATCAATCCATTTGGAATTATGTTGAAAAAATGTTAAAAAATTTAATTAAATCGGACTTAATAGAATTTGTGTTACAGATAAAAAATTTTTTAATACTTATTGGAATTTTGCTGTTCTTTTACTTAGTATTTTGTATTATAATTAAGTTAAAATTTGTTTTTCGAGTATACAGATATTTATTAAAATTCGTTATTGTATTCATGTTTTTTGAAGGGGGAGGTTGTTCTAACACAAGTTATTGTAACACAAGTCTAATACAGAAAAATTCAGAAATTAGTCAAATTTTTTACATAAAAATTTCAAGAAAAATTACATTAAAGGAAAAAAGTTCAGAAATTACATTGTTAAAAAGTTTAAATCTTTTATCTCCATTAATATTTACCTACATACAATACATAGAGTTTAATAAAGAAAAAGTACAAATTGATAAATATTTAGAATATAAAAATTCTATGTTAATCTATGAATCATTTCAAATAAACATCTCAGCAAAAAAGATGGTTTGTAAAAAATTTTTGTGGTTAGTGAGAAAGAAAATTGAAGAATTTTGGATAAATAAAAAAAGAATTGATTCATTATTAAACAATTTTTCCTCACAATTGTTTAAAAGAAAAATTTTGAATTATTCTCGTTCATTTTATTTTTACATTCATTTTACAATGTTTTTATTTTACCTTTATATTAAAATAGGTTTATTTAGTAAACCTACGTATTTGTTTATTGTTATGTTCAAAATATTTTTTAAATTTTTTAGTTCAAAAATTATGCCACCTAAATCTACACCAGCTCCTCAAAAAGTTATAAAGGGTGGAAAAGGAATTAAATTATCTGACAATGCTTTTAGTGAAGAAAGTGAGCATTCAGATTTCTCTGATTCTGAAGTAACTATTGAATATGAATCCGACAATTCTGAACATCTTCATGCTACGATTAATGATAACAAATCTCCTTCAAAAGAAAAAGAAATAGCTCAAAAGGAAAAATCTACTAGTAAGTCCATTGAAAAAGAAATAATTAAAAGAAGCTGTACTAATTGTAAAAATAAAGGATTCCCACCTGAAACATACAATAGTCACATTTCCTCGAATAAAAATTGTCCTTGTAAAAGCTTACAAAGTCCTAAAATAGTTTCAAGCAGACCCGACTTAAACGATAATTCTAATAAGGAAAAGACTGTTGAAGAAATTGATCAAAAAATAGAAAAATTTTTTATAGAAAGTGAACAATTTAAAATTTCAGATAAAGAAAAAGAATTACGAAAGATCCAAGAGAAGGAAAAGGAGGTTGGAATAAAAGTAGTAAATTCTATATTAAACAAGCGTACGGAAGATGACGTTAAAGAAAAAATGATCTTACCAAAAATTCCGAAAAGAAAGTTGCCAATATCTGAAGAAATATTTTACGATTCTCCTGTTCAAATTATTGTTCCCAAAAAAGTTCAAGAAAAAGCTTATACAGTATTGAAATCAAAACGAGAAAAATTAGTTAGTGAATGTAAAACTCAATCGTCCATTTCTGATAGTCGTGGTTCTCATTCACGTGAAGCCGGTTACCTTCTACGTATTAGAGCTTTGACGTCTGATTGTTTGAGTTTAATTCCACGTGATGGATGTAGAACTGTGGAAAAGAGAGCTGAATTTTGGATAAACTAGAATTAATTAATGAAGCTATCCAACAAACAATTCGTCATGCTAATGAGTGGGATATTCAACATGCGAGTCAATTTCAATCATGCTCGAATATATAAGAAGAAATTTAAAAAGAAAGAAAATTTTTTTTATATATATTTATAAAAAATTTTTTGCTTTTTTGTCTGTTTTCTTGTCCCCCTGAATGTCGCGAAAGGCGACTTTTCTTTTTACCATTTTGTCCCCTGTCTTTTTATTAAAAATATTTATTTTTTATTTTTCCCTTTTAATCATGCTTAATCATAGAAAAACGCCTACTTTCTCAAATTCTTTAAAATTCACTTTGTACTTTTGTGAAAATTCTATTTTTCTTTAAAATCCGCCCCTTTTTCTGACTATAAATAATCTTGGGCTTTCTCAAATATTCAGAGCTCTTCTTCGATTAAAATTGTTTTTAAAAGTTCCATTCTCTGTTTTTAAAGTTTTTAATTTTAATTTTAAATAAAAGTTTTCTATTCGTTTAAAATTAATTTTATTTTCTTTAAAAAAATTGTTGAGAAAAAAAATCTCAACAATATTGTATTAAAAAATTTTAAAAATATAATAAGCTTATGACTTTAATATTTTACTTGCAATCATTTAATATAATTTAGGATCCGTTTCTCTTTTTAAGGTATTTTGTCTTTATTTTGTTTTAATTAAAACAACATTAAATTATGTATTAAATTACCAACTTTAATTTTATCTATTGTACTTGGCATTGTGTTGAGCAATAATATGCAAGCTTAAAATTTGATTTAGTGAAATTTTAGAGTTTGCAAATAATAACTATAGCCTACAGAATATCTTGCTGATATTTGCTAATCTAATGAGTAACGGCAGCTATTACAACGCCACTTAATAATCAAAATTTTTTACAGGATTCTTCTTATAATATTGTTAACATCAAGGGATTTTTCTTAGTTGTAATGTATATTTATGTTTCAAATAATGTTTAATAATTTAACTGTTGTATAATTAATTAATGTTCTTTTGGTAATTTTTACTGAATAAATGTAATTTAGTTTTAAAATAAAAAGCTTTTTAACTAGATTATTAATTGTTCAGTTATTTATATAAGTTATTTATATAAAAGTTTTGATAATAGTAATAATTTATATTTTTAAAAATAATGTTATCATGCTTATTTTCACGGATATATTCTAGCTAATTTAGTTTTAGCAAAAATAATTTATTGAATGTAAATTTTAAATGATTTGTAGGTTATATGTATTAATTTGATATAATGAGAAATTGTGAGAGATATTTTGACTAAATGAATATCCATCTGGTTTAAAATGAATCTTATTAAAGTCGGAGTTAATATTGATTAATATAATTAATATTGCATAACATATTCCTAAATTTTAATTTATA